ACCCTGGGCTCCCCAGCCGAGCACAGACACCCCACGTCTGAACCTGCGCTGCTCCTGTCAGCTGGACTCAACTCTGCCAGGACATTCTGAAGGAGAAACTGTCATCGATCTGTCACCGGCTTGACCCTGCTATCGCTCTTGAGAGGGTACGGAGCACAATTCCACACTCCCGACACGAGCGCCTTGGGCTCTCTGGGGGCACAGGTCCTTCATGTCCAACCACCTGATCAATGCAATGACTCATCTCCATAAAACAAAACACTTGCTACGCGGGTAACGCTAATTCCGAAGCCCGTTCAACTTATTGAAAGCTTTAGTTGAAGTAAAGAGGTCCAATCAATTAAATCCTGTACTTCATGTGCATAAGCAAGTCAAAAGTCAACCCACTGGAGCTCAGCAGGTGTGAGCCTGGTCAGTACCTGGATGAGAGACTTCCTGGCAAGGCTGCTGCTGGAAGTGGTGTTAGTGGGGCCAGCAGGGAGCGCTCACCCTGCAGTCTGTGTGGGTCCTTATGCCCCAGTATAGTGACGGGGACACTGTACTGTGAACAGGTGCTGCCCTTCGGATGAGACATAAAAACGAGGTCCCGACTCTCTGTGGTCATTAAAAATCCCAGGGCGTTTCTTGAAAAGAGTAGAGGTGTTACCCCGGTGTCCTGGACAAATTTCCCACTGGCCTTTACCAGTCATGGCCTCCTAATAATCCCCATCTCTGAACTGGCTCCATCACTCTGCTCTCCTCCCACTGAGAGCTGGTGTGTGGGGAGCGTTCTGGCGCACTGTGGCTGCCGTCGCATCATCCAGGTGGGGGTACACACTGGTGGTGGTGGAGGGGAGACCCCATTACCTGTAAAGCGCTTTGAGTGGAGTGTCCAGAAAAGCGCTATATAAGTGTAAGCAAATATAATAATAATTATTTTTTTTATAAGAGCCAGTGGGAAGACCAGGTCTGTCTCCAGCAGCAGCCCTGAGAAGCCCGGACACCGAAGAGCTGGCATGAGAAAACCTGCGCTCAGCGCTGGCCTGGAATGGGACAATGTGTGGCAGGAGGATGCCTTTCTGTGGATTTCTGTTGTCCGATGGAGGACAGCAGTGAGAGCCAGGCGGGCAGGAGGGCACAAGACAGGGCAACATGCCACAGCCAGGACTGGAGGGCTGCGGGTTTGAATCCCCACTGTGGACTGTGCTGCTGTGCTTCCTTCCCATGCAGCTGTAGAAATGGCTACCAGTGTCCCAGCTGGTACAGCGGCTCATAACAGATCGAAGGATCTCATACTTTGTTTTTTCAATAAAGCCAGGGTATCGACTTCAACCACACAGCTGGGTAGCTTGTTCCACGCTCCCACCACCCTTTGTACACAGAAGCGCTTCCTGGTTTCACTGTCAATATTTCACAATATTTGGTTGATATTATAATGCTGAATCTTATTTTGGACGATAAGCCCCTGAGTGCTGCAGTATTGCTACAGTGATTCGCAGTGCTGTGTGGAGGAACCCCCCTTCTGGTGTGGGCTCAGGGGGGGCAGGCCAAGGTGTTCAGGGGAGGGAGGCTCTGAATTAGGGGCTCCTGGCGGCCGGACCTCACCTCTTTCCGGCTCTCATCCAGCTCCCTGTTGGTTTCCATGGAGGCGGTGGTGATGAGGGTGTTGCTAGGGTGGGAGGCAGAGCTGTTGGCTTCCTGGCAGCTGTCTGTCGGCATGGCGACCACAGCCCCCCGGTGGGGGAACTTGCCATCCATGATCATCTCGACGCCCTTTGGCGTCAGCTCGCCCTCCATCTCCACGACAATGCCATGGCGCCTGTCGGCACGGTA